AAAAAAAAAAAAAAATTCTGATGAGATATAAAGGACCATGAACTTGCTTGACTTTGGATGAACTAGGGAAGAAATTTCCCCATGTGCCAGACACCCAAAAGGTAAATCAAATGAGTCACCTTACACAGTGCTCACGGAAGTCCTATGAGGCAGGCAATATTATTTATTCCTAATTTTATGCTGAGGAAACTTCAGTTTGTAGAAACAAAGTCACTTGTCCCAGGTCACTCAGCTAGAAGGGAGTAGAGGAAGGAACCAAGCCCAGATCTGTTCTACCTGCCTTCAAAGCCATCCAGCATGCACAATGGCAGTACAAAGTGGAGCCCCCATCTGCCAATTCAGGGGCCAAGCACTATTAAACAGAGACTTGCATATGGGAGAGAAAAATTACAAAACACGCCTCTAGAGTGGGCCTAACTACCCATGTAGACTCTTACAGTAACTTTTTCCTTGGAGCTATTACTTCTGCTGACAGGTGTGGAAATGAGAGGTTTTCTAGCAGCCTCATAGAGAGCAGTCTCATACTGTGATGAAAGGGAACAGACTCATTTCAGATGGGTCTAAGAGATTAAGATCAATGTCCCAAGTTGACTAGGAAGTGAGAAAGGCCATATATAAAATTCATTTCTCTGTGGAGAAGGCACCAATGCTCTGCTCCACCATGTTTCTACTTACCGTGACATCTAACTTCTCTAGGGCAAAAAGCTGGTGATCTACCTGCACTGACCACAGCAGCTTGTCTGCTTCCTCCATAAGCTTCAGTGTCCCTGCAGGGGAGAGGGTGGGCTGGGCCTTGAGCAGACCCCACAGGCAGTCACAGCCCAGCCCAGCCCAGCCCAGTCCAGCCCAGCTCACCATCCAGGGTGCACAAGGCAAAGAGGCCAGAGCCACCACTCTCAGGGTTGTGGCCTAGGGGTGCGACAGGAAGACCAGAAGAAAACGTGAAGGGCTGGGTAAGATCAGAGTCTCCAGGGTGAGGGGTAGCTCACAGTACAGGGGGACACATGGGACTAGAAATGTGGGCAAGGACTTGGGTCTTCTCTCCCTCAGAACTGACTGTGTGCCCTCCACTCCCTCTCCCACCTTGCTTGATGTTGCCAATGAGGTGAGTGGAGACGTTCTTGTTGTGGATCCGGCCAGATGTCTGGTGCAGCACCACATCTCGGGCAGCAGGAGCCTCCCTGTGGGCAGGAGGGTGGGTGGGCAGAGTGGGAGGCCAAAGGAGCTGAGTTATCCAGGCTCCCTTGTGGCCACCATCCCTATTAGAACTTCTAGGACAAGAACCTGCCTGGAAGCCCCTCAGTGCCCCTGTCTGGCCTATGTGGCAAACAGAGGTGAGAGCCACTGGGCTGCCAGGTGGGAATCACATTAACCACTTTCAGATGCTCTCTCAGGTTAAACCCAGGATTCCTCAAGTCCCAAGATAATCTTCCCAGTGGGGAAGGTCAAGTCTAGACCTGCTTTACTACCCCTCCAGGAGCTCATCATGTTCCATGCACCCCCACACCATCCACAGGCTGTACCCCTTACCTACTGCCCTCTGCGGCCCCCTCAGAGGCAGGAGCGGACCCAGTGTCCTTGTTCCAGGTACACAGCAGAACTGCATAAGCACAGCCTGGCTGAGACACCATCAGCTCAGGCACACCCAGTGGCCCCTGGGTCACTGAGAGACTGTCTACCTGCACCAGGGAACAGAGCCTTAATGGAGACAGAGTGAGAAGGGGGCACCCTGCCAGGAACAGGGGAATAGCCCTCCAGTTGCAAAGATGGTAGCAAGAGGAAGGATTCTAGGGTTTTGTAGGCACCTGCCTGGCCCCATCCATCCACACACATCATCTGCCTTCTGCTGTGTGGGCCCCACAGGGTCTAGATCCTGATGTAGTCCACACCACACCCCCTTCACACTCTGCATTCTTAGCCCACTACTCCTTACTCTGTACCTGTTATTAAGATTTCCACCAAGTCCCTGCCTGGAAATGACCTTCTGTGGATCTCTCAGCAAGGCAATTTTCCCTTCTAAGCAGCCTGGCCCAGTTCTCCCACAAGCCTCCTCCAGGAGGCCTTCCTCCCTCCTCCCTGAGTTCCTTGGCTCCTGGGTCCCCAAACTCAGTCTGTCACCTGACCCTCCAGCATCCACTTCTTGAGGGACACCAGCTGCCCTGACAGGTGTTCAGTGCCCTCAGCCAGCTCCTCCCATCGGAAGGCCCGCACCACTCGATCTGTATAACCCACCACCAGCTCGCAACATCCATCTCCATCTGTGGACACAGGAACAAGACAGGGTCGGAGCCAAATCTGTATTGGCCAGCTTGAGGCCTACAAGCACCTCCCTGCAGGCCCCTCTGCTACCATCACTACTGCTGGTATTTTTTTTTTCTGGTGGGACTGGGGTTTGCATTCAGGGATTCACACTTACAACAGGCCCTCTACCACTTGAGCCACACCTCCAGTCTACTTTGCTCTGGTTATTTGGGGGTCTTGTGAACTGTTTGCCTGGGCTAGCCTTGAACCTTGATCCTCCTGATCTCAGTCTCCCAAGTAGCTAAGACTACAAGCATGAGCCCCTGCACCCAGCCTAGTGGCATTTTTATCCAATGCAACTAGATGGCCAGCCTTTGGTGCCGTTCCTTGCATACTCTGGCTGCTGCCTCCTCTGCCTTCCTGTGCTCACATCTGATCACGACCATCTTAATTACTATTATCAGTGCTGGGGAATGAAACCATAGCCTTGTGCATGTTCAGCAAGTGGTCTACTACCAAGCTCTACCCACAGCCCCACTATTTAATTTCCTTACCAAATTTAAATTGTTTCTTTTCTATCTCTTCCTAGTAAGGACTTTTACCACACTGGGAAAAAAAAAAAAGACTGAATGTGGTGGTGCACACCTGTAATCCCAGCACTAGGGAGACTGAGGCAGGAGACCGTGAATTTGAGGCCAGCTTGAGCTACATAGAGGGATTCTGTCTTGCTTTTTTTTGGGAGGGAGGGTGGTACTGAGGTTTGAATTCAGGATCTCACACTTGCTGGGCAGGCACTCTACCACTTGAGTCATGGCCCTAGCTCCTGTCTGTTTTATTCATTATTGTAATTCCTGGGCCTAGAACAATGCCTGACTCATAATGGGAGCTCAGCAAATCTGCATTAACTACAGAGAAATGTACAGATGGACACAGGCTCTCCCCCTCCCCCAACCCCTTGGGATTGACCTAAGAACCCACTGAGTCCTACTCTCCCGGCCACTGCAGAGCCAGTCGTGCCCACCGATGTCGCTGATCAGCATGACCTTGGTGTTGGCGGGGACGTGCTGCTTAAAGACTGGACGCTGCTCCTCTCCCAGGAGTGACTCATGGTGGCCAGAAGCATCCAGGGCCTTGGCAGGTGTCAGGTCAAACAAGTGAAACCAGCCTTCGGCACTCACTGCCACCACCAGGTTCTGGGAGAGACAAAGATGAGGAGAGAGGGACTGGACTATGGAGGGAGGTCTGGGTAAAGGCTGATACTCAGATCTCACAGGCCACAGCTGACTTCCACTGGGAGGCAGGGATGGAGGGAAGGCCTTGGAGTTCAACCAAAGCACCAGATCCTTACCTTTCCTTTATTACACACATCTCCAACCCCAACGCAAGTCAACTGCAAGAGAGAAAGGGAGGCTCAGGGAGGTACTGATGGGAGACCAGTCCTCCCTAATCGCTATGAAGCAAGAAGCAGTTTGGTTTGATGGTTTTGTAATTACCATCACCCACTGAAAACTTGTGCCATGTGACCTACAATGACACTGTTTAGCAACAGAGATATAGTGTGCTATCATTTCACTTTACCCACACAGCAATATGAAGGCCTGAGTAGGCAAGACAATTTGGTCTTAAAACAAAACAAAAAAGCCCACATCTAATATAGCTTGACTGTCATATTTCCAGACTTAGTCCAATTATTACCCCCACTTTGACTACCCAGTCACGCACTACATAAGGACAGACCACATGTTTGACGGTGGGTCCATGTGATTACATCACCTAGTAACTATTGGAGCTGTCTTAGTTTGTATATGTACTGTGTGGTGTTCACAAAATGATGAAACTCAGAACACATGCCTGCTGTTAGCCAATGCTTGACTACCTTATAAGATCACACAGCCTAGATGGCACCTGTAAAATACCAAGGAGTACCAACCACACAGCATAAAAACAACCCAGCCCTGTGGTGGGGCCTTGAGGATGAGAGCAATGCCTGGGGCTGCTCCTATCGAGTCAAACAAACCCTGAAACAACGACTGGGCTGAGCTGCTAGGAAGTCAGGTCGCACTGGGGAGCTCTACATGGGACACCCCCTGGGTACGGTACCCCCTGCACAGAAGGGACCCTGCCCCTCCCCGCCACAACACCCAGGAAGGCAAATACTGACCATCCCTTGGCAAGTACAGGTGAGCCATGGCCGGCTGTCATCATTCTTATACACAGACAGCTTTCCACTGGTGTCTCCCACCACCAGTTCATTTAACTACAAACGAAGAGAGAAGAGTGTTAGAATGCAATCCTGTGGAACCCTAGCAAGCTCTCAGTACAGCCTACCCCTGGGAAATCACAGATTTTAATTTGTATCTTCAACTTCATTGAAAATCCTTTGAGACCAGCTGGGGGTGTGGCTCAGTAGTAGTGAGAGGCCTTAGAGTCATTTCAGAAGGAATACACACACACACACACACACACACACACACACACAAGACTAACATAGCCATAGTTTCCCAGGATTTCTTTTTATTTCCATTTAGGGCTGTGTGTGTGTGTTGGACACAGGAGGGGTTAGAGGAATGGCGGCTGTACAGAATCTATGATCCATCCCAGAAAGTCTGACATCTGCACAGCTTTCTGTCCCACATGCCTGACTTTGGCTCTTCTAATTTGCCCATTACAAATAGGACATGTTTTGAAAAAAAAGCTCAAGATCTTGAACTTTTGAAGACTCTCACTTCAGATCTCATATTTATTTAAACAGGGGCCAGTAATAAAACAAGGACTGTTCTACCAAGGCCTCTAGGTCTTTCCCTTCCCTCCCCCCCACTTTCTTTTTTTGTGCTGGGGTTTGAACTCAGGGATTTGTGCTTGCTAGGCAGGCACTCTACCACTTGAGCCACACCTCCAACTCAGCCTCTAGCTCTTGAGGTATGTGAGCCACTGCTGAGGGAGTCTGAAGGCCCTGCTGGTGTCAGCATCCCCACTTTGGGCCTCTGGTGCCCTCAAGTGGTGAGTAGGCTCTCAGAAGGGGGGCTCCCTCCATGAGCCTCTTCCTGACCACTACCTGGGCAGTCACTCTCTCAGGGGCTAACCACAGCAATCAGGTGGTTCCAAACCCTATTTCTATAAATAGCATCCTGATTTCCTCTTGGAAGTACAGTTAACACCTCATCCCTGTCCTTCAAATAGAGGAAACTAAAATTAGATTCTCTAGAGGTTTACTTCTAAGAAGACCAAGAGGATTTACAAGGAGATCGACAGTAAGGAAGCTGGCACAGTAACCTGCACCTGCAGTCCCAGCTATTCAGGACCCTGAAAAAATAAGGAAAAATTAGGAGCAAACTGGGATTTATTAGAATGATTTGACATTTAGAATTATTTTTCAATAATTATGGGAGTTTCTGGTGAGAATATTAGATCAAAGAAGTAGCCGGCTCATGCTATAATCCTAGCTACTCAGGAGGCAGAGATCAGGAGGATCTTGGTTCGAAACCAACCCGGGCAAATAGTCAGCAAGACACTATCTTGAAAAAAAAAAATCACAAAAAAGGGCTAGTAGAATGTCTCAAGTTGTAGGCACTGAGTTTAAGCCCCAAAACTGCCAAAAAAAAAGTATACAAGCTTATTTACATCAAACCCTCTGTAGCTGAGGTTTCAATTATGGCTGCCTTGGAGGACTTCTGCAGAGCCCCAGAAGAGGGGCCACACAGTGCACAGGTTCAGAGTGCAAGCACCTGGGCTTGAGCCAACTCCTTCCTTCTGCCTCTGTTTCTCATTTATAAAATGAGTCTAGGAGGCAGGCATGGTGACTCACACGTGTAACCCCAGCACTGGGGAGGCTGAGGCAGGAAGACAGAGTTGAAGGTCAGCCTGGGCTACACAGTGAGACCCTATCTCAGGACAGGGCTGCGGTGTAGCTCAGTAGTAGAGCACTTGCCTAGCATGTGCAAGGCTCTGGGTTCCACCCCTAGCACTGCAAAAATTTAAAATAGTAAGAGTTTCTACCTCGTAAGGTGGTTGTGAGACTGGAGCTGACAGAGGAAGACGTGTAGAACAATGACTGGCACACAGTGAATACTAATACCAGGTGTTTTTTCAGCTTCTAGGTTGACCTCATCCAGGGCTAGGGAACTTAGCATCTTTCATACAATTGCTTTTATGCATTCCTTCAACAAATGCCACAATACATGAGTAGGTGTGTGTGTGGTACTGGGGCTTGAACTCAGGGTCTACACCTTGAGCCACTTCACCAACCCTTTTTCTGTTATATATTTTTGAGATGCCCGGGCTGGCTTTGAACTTCATTCTTCCTGATCTTTGCCTCCTGAGTAGCTAGGATTATAGGCGAAAGGCACTGGCACCTGGTTCAATAAATATTTAATAAATAATGATTTTTTTCGGTGGTGGGATGGAACTCAGCAACCCCAGTCAACATTTTTTTCTTTTTCTTTCTTTTTTTTTGCAGTACTGGAGCTTGAAGGTCTATACCTGGAGCCACTCTACCAGCCCTTTTTGTGATGGATTTTTTTTCAAGATAGGGTCTCTTGAACTATTTGCCTCAGGCTGGCTTCCAATTGCATCTTCCTCTGCCTTCTGAGCAGCTAGGATTACAAGTGTGAGTCACAGGTGCCTGGCTTTCTTTTCTTTTTTTGAGACAGGGTCTCACTATGTAGTCCAGGCTGGCCTGGAACTCTCAATACTCCTGCCCCAGCCTCCCAAGTGCTGAGATTACAGTTGTGTACTGCCTTGCCCAGTCTTTACTGCTTATTTTTCTTAATGGTATGCTGTGGACATAAGCTAACAACAGTAAAAAGTTTAGACTGCAAGAGAATGCCCTGCCAACCCTGGAATTTTCTGGTTAAAGCTGCACAACAAGCTGGGGCTACAAATATTGAGAAGGAACTCCCAGCGCTACAGGTCCACAGATCCTATAGAAAATTATCAAATGGTATGCTAGGTGCCCTGAGCAAGCAGAGGTGACTTGGGCAGGCAAAGTGACCTAACACCTGGGAGAGGACGTTTCCAGGACAGCCATGCGCTCTCCAGCAACTAGAATGCTTCCTACCAGGTCTGCTTTACCATGCTGTGCGCTTGGCTCTGACCTCCGGGTCAGTCAGTGACACTAAAGAACCCTGGCTGGAGGGTCCACCACTGGTCAGTGCTAACAGAGGAAGAAGAGAGACTTTTTTGTGACCTGCTTTGGCCTTCCAAAGGCTGGCGGGCACAGTCAGGCTTCAGCAGGCAGTCCTAGAGTTTGGATATTTTATTTCTGGCTTCTTTCTCTCTGGCTTAGAGGGAAATGAATCAGTCTCAAGGAGCTTTAGACTAAGGGCTTATTAGGCTGCTATCTGTCTTCCCTGCTTCCAAGTCTCTAAATGTTTAGGGATTAATAACAAACTTTTTCTTTTTTTGTAGAGCTGAGCACGGAACCCAGGGGCTTGCATATACTATATCCCCAACTGCTCTCCTTCTGTTTTGATGGTACTGTGGTTTGAACTCAAGGTTTTATGCTTGCTAGACACTGCTTGAGCCACGCCTCCAGCCCCCAGACCTTTTTTTTCTTTTTTGCAAATGTTGCTGGGGATGGAGCCAAGGGCCTTACACTTGCTAGGCAAGTGCTCTACCACTAAGCTACACTCTCAGCCCTCCTTCCGACTAACAAAATTCCTATCCCTACTCCTGCAGCCAAGTGTGCTACACGTGATTACTGGTTGATTCCCACCTACTTGCTCTTCTTTCACTTATATATAGTAACAACAGACAAGGCTCTCCAAGTTGATTTGAAACACATAATCACTTCTTCCTTCTTCCTCCTCCTTTTTCACATTTGCTTTTTATAACAATATTTACTTAGTCATTAGGGCTGGCAGAGTGGCTCAGTGGTAGAGCGCCTGCCTAGCAAGCAGGAAGTCCCCTGAGTTCAACCCTCTCTCCTCCAAAGAAAGGGCAAAAGAAGGGCTGAAGTATGGCTCAAGTGGTAGTGACTGCTTAGCAGGCTCAAGGCCTGCAGTTCAAACCCCAGTACTGAAAAACAAAACATAACAAAAAAAACCTCAATCAAACACTATTTCTGCTGGGCATGGTTGCACAGGCCTACAATCTCTCTCTCTCTCTCTTTGGTGGGACTGAATTCAAGGCTTAGGTACTTGCAAAGCAGGCACTCTACCTCATGAACCACACCTCCAGCACACATACCTATAATCTCAACACCCTGGAGGCAGGTAGAGGCAGGAGAAAGTTCCAGGCCGGCCTGTACAACATACACAACAAGACCTTGTCTCAGAAAAGCCAAGGGCTAAGGCTGTAGCTCAGCGATGGAGCTCTTGCCTCACATGACCTGGGTTAGATTCCCCGCACTGCCAAAAAAACCCAGCAAAACCAAATACATTTGTTAAGTGCCCATTGTGTGCCCTGCACTATTCTAAGTGCTGGGAATATAGCAGTGAAAACAAACACACAAACAAAAAGATTAAAAAGAAACTTCTGGCCAGCACAAGCCTGTAATAGTCTCAGCTCTCAGGAGCAGAGGATGGCTGGAGCTCAGAGGTTTCAGGCGAGCCTGAACTACATAGTGAGGCCCTGCTTATGGAATTTATAATATTGGGGCATATAACTCAGGTGGAAAAAAAAAAAAAGGTGGTGTGATTTAGAGTTGTCTCTTACCTGAGGAGTTCAAGAACTTCTACGAACACCAAAATCAAGTTCCTTACATAAAATCACATAGTACAATTTGTATACATCCTACCCACATCCTCCTACACTTTTTTTTTTTTTTTTTTGGTGGCACTGGGGTTTGAACTTAGGGCTTCGTGCTTGCAAAGCAGGCACTCCAGCCCATTTTGCTCTGGTTATTTTGGAGACGGGATCTCTCAAAGTATTTGCCTGGGCTGGCTTCAACTGGCAATCCTTCCAAGTAGTTAGCATTACAGGTGGGAGCCACTGGCACCCAACCTCCCATACACTTTAAAAAATTCTTTTTATTTCTATTTACTTTTTATTCTTTTGTATTTATTTGCTTGTCTTTTACCATGCAAGTACTGTACCCCTGAGCTACATCCCTAAGCCCCTCCATAAACTTTAAATCATCTCTAAAGTGCCATATAAATACAGTGCATAAAATTTAGTCAATGGCTGGCCACATATGCGAAGGTAAACACCATATGGCCTAGAGTGTACTAGGCTAAATCACTTAGGTACATGTGCACACTGCATAAGGACCACAAAACCACCTAACCTGGAGTGTAGCTGCTATACTGTATTGCTTACAGAATAATGACAGGGGGAAAAAATAAGTCTGTACAAGCTCAGTACAGACCCCAATTTCTTTCCTCCAAATATTTTCCATTCCATATTGGCTGAATCCTGGGTGCAGAACATTGACTTCCGGGGATAGGCAGGGCTTCGTGTAGTAACAGCACTAATTATGGGGAGCTCACTGTGTGTCAAGCATTGTTCTACCAGCTTTACCTGTATTAATTTATTTAAACAATGAGAAAAACAAGAACTGCCGAGGAAAAAGTATGGAGAGTGCGTTTGTAATTCAACAACAAAGGGGTAACACCCTCAAGTGGCCAGGCACTTAGGTCCACTCTGGGCAGGTATTGGAACATGACAAGGTCAAAGGTAGTCGGTGGGGCTTAAAGTGCTTTTGCTAAAAGGCACTGACTCCTTTCTTGGGTCCATGAATTAGCTAAAAACAGAAGAAAAGTTCAGTATCTCCATCTCCATTTTGTACCTGTTGTGCTTTACTCAGCCATTCTCTCCTGTAGCCACCTTGGAATCAAGGAAGGACAGGAGTGATCGATAACATCTTTTTTGACACTGAAACTACCCATAAGGTACAGCAGAGCCTTGCAGGACAGACCACCCCTCCAAATGAGAGCAATTAACTAGAAAGATGAAGATGCAATCATCTCTTGGGAGCCAGACTGCTCCCCTCAAATGACAGCGATAACAACTTCTCCAAAGACCAAGGGCTGAGATAATAGTCAACCAGGCCTCACTCAACCACTGGAACACACCTGTGACTGGGACTGGGCCTATGCATGCCTCTTGTCCCCTGCCCTAATTTGTCTATTAGAAGCAAAAGCTCAAGTGTGTACCCTGAAGATGGCTGAAGATGGACTAGCTGCTTACTCTGCTTCTTCCCATGGCATGTCCTCGGTGTAATAAATTTCCCTTCTCTGACTTCACCGCGCCTCTTTATTTGGCATATCCAGGGGTGAGTGGCTGGACCTGACATGTGGAAGCTCAGGAATTTGGGCCTGGTGTCCAAAACTCCGGTTTCAGGGTAAGTGGTACCCAGCTGGAGGCGACACCACGAATCTACTCCAGGGCAGGGTCCGCGAGGAACAGTAGCAAAGGTGCGCCAGAGTAGGTATGGGGGAAGCGACTAATTCTGCGAGAGAAGGAGGGGCCAAAGTCTTGGGAGGGCCCACTTAGAGCTGAAAAAAAAAAAATTTAGGCTTTGGAAGGTAAGGTTAGGGGAGGCTGAGAAGCAGTGATCCAGGCAACTCAGCCACCAGAGTCTGAATAAACAATTATTATCTGCCTTCGGAAAAATAAGCCCAGACCAACTAAACTGGCAGAGATGTCTGGGCACTCAAGCAAACAAAATTTTTCTCATCCGCGCGCCTCGCAGGCTCCAGTGCGCATGCTCACGCTCACGCTGCGGCTTCGCGTCCCTCGCCCCGCCCCTGCGCGGTCAGGCTGCGTCTCTTGCAGTGCGCATGTACTCACCGTATCGTTATCGACGTCTCCCAGGCAGATTGCGTGCGGAAAGAGGCTCCCGCTAAACTCCAGCGCCACGCGCTGCACGTAGCTAACCGATCTCATGCTACTTCCAAGGGTCAAGGGACCGGGGAGTCCCGGTAAACGATCCCCACGCCCCTCCCGACAGCCGCGCGAGCGGAAGGCAACCTACAGCGGAAGGTTTCGTCACCACCTGATCTTCCAATCCGGGCTTTCCTCGCTTAACCTTGGCGAGGAGGCGGGTGTTCCGCGCCGGGTGACGGTCTGAACTCCAGGACTGATGTGAGTGACAGGACAACCGGCCACTCCTTTTCTCTGGAAGGCTAGCGCGCGTGGGTAAGCCAACCCAGACGTGGCTGACCTGTTCCCTTGGCAACGGAGTTCTTTCGGGCTTGACCTAATAACCTTGACCTCTTTGTTGCCCTGGCAATAAAGATTTCGACCTATCAGACCATCTCTGAGAACATAGTCATAGTTTTAATAATGTGTGGTTTCCAACAGTGCTTTTATGAAAACTAGCTACCTATTAGGAATTTGGAATTTTAATGTGGTGCATTGTAACCAACATTTTAAAAAATTAAGGAGAAAAGACCAAAGGACTGCCGAATAAGTAGTATAAATAGAAAGTAGTAGCGTTTCTGTAAAACTTTTGTTTCAATTATATATATTTATATATGTATATTGAATTATAATGTAAAAAAATTTTGTTTCTGTATGTGTCTGTGCTTCGTGGTCAATACTTTGAAAACCACCTGCTGCAAACACATTCCACATCTATTATTTCACAAAATTAGGACAACCATATGATATAACTTGGATTATTCCTGTTTCTACAGATGAGGAAAACACGTTCAGCAAGATTAAGTAACTTGGCAGAAAGTGGTAGAAGTGGAACTTAAACCAAGATTGGTTGATCCAAACCCCCAGGGATTCTTAATCACTTGTTGCCCTAGTTCTTTAGCTGGAAGTTTAAGGCAGCCATCCAGGATTCAGGATATGCTCTGTCTTGTGCTCCTCACCTCCCACCCTCCACCCTCCCCTACCCTCACCCCTTCCCCCACCCCACCACCTAGCACAAAGCTCTCACCTTGCTCTCTCAGTGGCCACCTTACTCTGTAGTGTAGATGGGACCATTACTCTCATGGGTGACTGCTTTGGGATTCTTTTCTATTCAATCCAATGCTGCCTTCTTTGGGGCATCTCATCAATTAAGGCAGCAAGAGTATTTGTAAAATCCTAATGGTACTCAATATATATTTAGGTTTAAGTCTGTACACCCAGGCTGATTTACAGTTGATCTTTTGGCCAAAATAGGCATATTATCTCAGTTGGAGGTTGGACTAGGGATGGTTCTATTTTCTATGTCTAAAGGTGGTGGAAGTCTAGAAGGCAGGAGAGGAAGGAGGAAGATGGCAGATTTGGTCCCAGAAGTCTCAATGCTCTGACAGCTGCTCTGACAGCCGCAAGGTGAGAAGGAACAGGGGGTTGCAACAGTAAACAGGAGACAATGTAGACAAATACTGGGGCCTGCAAATCCACTCAGGCTAGACTGTTACCAATTACCAGTTCCTATTTCTGATGGTGTATTGTGGGGATGGCTTAGTCCATTCAAAGGCCTGGGTCACACAGGTCTACCCAGGTTTTAAATGTGTTCTCTAATTCATGAAGGGTTTGCAAGCTACCTCCCTACCTCTAAATCTCCTGTTATCCTGGCTCAAACTGTAAGTTTCCTATGACATTTTTGAGGGGTGGGAAAACAAGTCAGTTTTAAAATGTTTACCTCTAAATGTAAAGTTAAGTAGTTTTATGTTTTGTTGTACTATATAGTTTACTGTTTTCTCTTTAAAGCCCTCTGAATAAAATTGTGAGATAAACATTAATAAATCCTCAGGACAACAGAGATGAAGATCACCCTGATTCTGCCACCGAGTGCACTGGCCTGACCCAGCACTCCACAGTGCCTTAGTTTTATCTTCCTCATCATTTGGGCTTCTTGTTCTGGATCTCTCTGTGCCAGGGTTGTGTCTATTTTTGTTTGTAGATTCTGTTTGCCATGAAGGTCATGTCATTTTGACCACAGTTTGGATGCCATGGCTTTCGGCTTTTGTTGAGAGCCAATAAAGGTGGAAAGGGAGGAAAGGTATCCAAGAAATAGGGCACGAATTAAGTCATTCTATGCCTGTGTCTCTCTCCACCCTACATGCTCTGAGTACATTAAGTTAGTGTTCACAGTAGTGGAACACAGGATGAGGCACTGCACTGTGGACAGATCCCTGGCCCCACAAGGAACATTCCTTTTCTTGGCCTCTCCCTATGTAGCCCAGGCTGGTCTCAAACTTGGTTTCCTGACTGCTTCCTGAGTACTGGGATTACAAGTGTGCGCCACCATGCCCATCTTTTCTTGGCCTTTTTTTTGTTTTTTGCTTTTTTAGTGGAATGGCTGATGGGTCTCTATTGGTACCATCTAGCTACCATTGTATCTAAACCAAGCACTTTTTTTGAGATTGGGGCTTGTTATGTACCTGAAGGTGGCCTTCAACTTTTGAGCCTCCTGCCTCAGCCTCATAAGTGCTGGAATTACAAGTGTGAACCACCATGTCTGGCCCAAGCACTCTTTAGCATGGCTTTTGGCTTACTCCCCAGAACTGTCTTTTTTTTTTTTTAAAGTTTTAGCAAGGATTTATTTTAGTATAACAGGATAAAGTATAGACAAGGGGGGTGGGCAGAGAGGGAGAGAGAGAGAGAGAGAGAGAGAGAGAAACATTTTCAGCACTCATGCAGGAAATGGGAGCACAGACTCTCCAGAACTGTCTTAACCAGGTGACATGGATACAGTTGGGCAGGTAGCATATTCTTTATAATCAAATAGTAGCTTCAATAAAAACCTCCATAGGAGAGCTGGGGTGTGGCTCAAGTGGTAGAGCACCTGCCTAGCAAGTGCAAGTGCTTGAGTTCAAACCCAAGTACCACAAAAAAATTTAAAAAATTAAAAAAAACAGACTGGAGGTGTGGCTCAAGAAGTAGAATGCCTGTTTTGCCAGTGGGAAGCCATGACTTCAAACTCCAGTCCCACCAAAAACCCCCCAAAATCACAAAGCTATATACTTAAAATATACTTAAAAAGTTATATACTTAAAATACATTTAAAGCCAAGTGCCAGTGGCTCACACTTGAATCCTAGGTATTAGAGGCAGAGATCAGGAGAATCAAGGCTTGAAGCCAATCCTGGCAAAAGTTCGTGAGATCCTATCTCAAAAATACCCAAACAAAAGAGGGCTGTAAGAGTGGCTCAAATGGTAGAGTGCCTGCCTCCCAAACATGAGGCCCTGAGTTCTAACCCCATTACCACCAAAAACACAACAGCAACAACAAAAAATCCCACTGCCTATATAGGAGGGAATGGGGGATTTATTGGGAAGCATTTCTAGGGAGTCTCTTTGGCTTCATCCTCCATGAGTAGTCAGAGGCCCTACCCAAAGTTGTCTGCCCAGGTATCCTGATAGGAAATAGGACTTTCAAAGCTCTTTCTACAGACCCCACCCGGTACCCTGGGGACACAAGGCAAGGGCTTCCTGGTGAGCTGCTTTTGAGACTTACCATTCCTCTTCCCCATCTAATTTACTGTGCTTGGTGGTTTCTGAAAAGTCATGAAGTATAGAAACCTAGTTGTCCTGGAAATTGGCCTTCTGTTTTTTTCCTTTTTGGGCAGTACTGGGTTTGAACGCTGGGCCTCGTGCTCGCTAGGCAGGCACTCTACTGCCTGAAGCACTCCACCAGCTTGGCCTGGAAATTGGGCAGAAGGATGTAGGCAGCTGTGCTATGGGCAAGCTTTGATCCTTCACCTGCTGGGTGGCTGTGTCCAAGAATGTCCTGAAGAATGAGCAGTTCTCATGCTCACTCCAGCCCAAATTAGGAAATGGGCTTCAAACTCAAGACGTGGTGGATGCACCGAGTGGACTAAATGACACCAAATTGAATTGTTCACTCCAAAGTGGTTATGTGAATTTCTCCTACAAAATGCACAAGGAACCATTGTGTCTGATGTACTTCTAATAGTGGAACAGGAGACTGAAGGTCCCCAAGAGCATGCATGTTTTAGGGGACAGACTATGGCTGGTGCCCCCTCCCCCATCAAGCTGTTTTTTCTTTTTCAGTACTGAGATTTGAACTTAGGGCCTCATGCTTGCTAGGCAGGCACTCTACCACTTGTACCATGCCCCACAAACCAGGCATTGCTTTTTTTTGACCATTCCCCACAACCATTTTTTTTGTAAGCACTGTCATTCCAGTTACAAGGTTGAAATGCTCTGCATTTGGAAAGGGAAAGTCATGAGAGAGGGAGGAATAAAGCAAAAAAGGTTCCACTATAGATTACTTTCCAGTAATGATTCTCTTTGAAAAGTACTCTTCACTAGTCCTAGTGTCTTTCACCTTTTTCACTTGAAATGGGATACACAACTCAACTGGTTTATCCTCAGGGTGGTATAGGTGTGGAATGAAGGGGAGTGTCAGGTGCACTGAAGCAGGTTTTGTGTGCCACCGGATAAGGCCTCTGATCTCCAGCCTGAATGGAATGGCAAACCTTTGAGAGTGGAGGGACTTGTATACAGTGTGGAAAGCAGACGCTCTGGCATGAGCATGTTGAGGCAGGGTGGTGAGCAATAGATGTAATTTACAGGATGGAAAAACTATATATGAACACTTAGGTGATAAAGTTGGGCTCCATGTTTGAAGCAGCAGTTCAGGATGAACCCCATTAAAAAAAAAGTTCTTCCTAGAGACCACTTGCAAAACTGCAACAGCACTGGCTGCTACAAGTTGTGTTCCACTTTCGTTCATAAAGGAAAATTTCTGTTGGTGAGGAAGGTGTAACTGTCTCAGAAACTGCAGTAGTGACCCAAAAGAGCAGTATACAGTAGGGTCACGTTTAGCCTCTAAGACTGTCATTTTAACAAGACATCTTCACAAGATAATGTTAATGTTACAATAAGGCTTTTCCTTCTCCAGTATTCTACAAAAGTGCAGTTGTTTTAAATTCCCGGAATCCCAAAAACATTCAGAACTGGAGGGAACTCTGGGAATGGTTTTGAAGAAGTTCAAGATGCCCCATGTAGTAGAGGGGCAAGTTTGATCAGAGTACATTAAATCCATGAAATGTCACAATGAAACCCTTCCTTGTGTAATACATGCTAATAAAAGGGGGAAAAAACCTCATGTGACCCCTTTACATAGTCACATGTATCTCACAGAAGAGTTTGGATTAACTCAGGGGCCTCACCTTCAGGCAGACTTTTTCATTTTAATTCCTTTGTTTTCCGATCTGTAAGAAGTGATAATGTCCCTTTTGTGCTATCTGTGCAAGGATCAAGGTAAAACCGGTTTTTCATATACTACTAGGCTTACACACAAGTGCTTTGCAGGAATTGGCTTTATCATTAGCTGTGGGAGCAAGAATCTGATTTTTGAAGTATCAAAAGGATGCAGACACAAACCCCAAGTGCAGGACTGGACTTAAAGCAGAACTGGGGGAGACTTAATACCCAAATTTTAGTTCAGAGTCCAGCACCACCCATGTTGTAGGATTCAGACATTTTTCCGTCTTCTGCAGTGCTAAGAATGAAACTTATACTAGCAGGAAGCATACAGGTGTGTGGGTAGGCAGACTGTCCCCTTCCTGTTTGGGAAGGACTAGACAGCCCACTCAGTAGAGGGAAGGTACTGGCAGATACATCACTCTGATCCTGCAGCCAGGGTAACTGTAGGAGGCTCAGCAAGACCAGCCTATGCCACCTGGCTTCTCTCTGAGCTCCATGCTCCAGGTAGTCAAGGGTCAAAGCATAGTTAGGAAAGCAGGTTTTCCTGTTAAGGCTGGGAAGTCACTCATACCATAGTCATGTAAAAGGTTTCTAACCAGAGAGTCAGCTACACTGGAGGTTTTAGTACTTAAGTTTGAACTCAGGGCCTCCCACTTGTTACCACTTGAGCCACTCTACCAGCTGATTTTTGGGTTGGGTATTTTTCAAGAGAGGGTCTCAATAACTATTTGTCTGGGATGGCTTCAAACCAAGATCATCTTCCCGTGTTGGGGAAAAAAAGGAGAGGCACTTTACTGTTGGGCTGCTGAAAGGAGGGTATGCTTGGAACCCACTACCAAGTCATGGTACTGTCCAGCTGCAGCCTGCATGGGGCTCAGGAGGCTCTGCTCCATGACTTTGTGAATATCATATGATATACTTAAGTTGGACCAGGGGTTAAGGTGACCCTCCTTTATTCTGCTCCAGCACATAGTGCACCCACTACCCCCACATCCAAAGCTGAACACAAATGGTAGCCCAACACCCAGGTTGTGTTGTTTCCATTTTATTGCTCAAGCACAGGACTTGAGGTGCGCCTGGACCTTCAGCAACGTGCAGAGAAGAGGCTGAAGGTGATGGGGCACAACCTGGCTGAGAAGGGAAATTGATAGGAGGGGAAATACCCAAAGGGGGCAGGGGGTGGTCACCATGACACCAGAAGACAACCAGCCACGCTATCTGGGGTAAGGAAGGGAACAGAGAGGTAATGGGCACAGCAGTGGTTTTCCCACGCCCCTAGCACCCACATGGAGGCCACATGTTTGGAAACAGACTGGAGGGGGAAAGGATGAGGATAACGGCTGCCCAGGAGTCTCCTTCTCCACCCTGGTTTCACATCAGACCTCATCCCTACCATCTGCCCCCATCTGCAATTTGAAAAATGGACCTTACAAACAGAGGGAGCAAAATAAATTAACATTCTGGTGAGTCATGTAGGTGGACATAGGTTCATGTGTAATGGGGAAGAAAAGAGGGGGTGATACCACCAAAAATTATCCCCTACCTCCACCCCCCAAGCCTATGTCTCCCATTTCCCCCCAAAGTCACCATCCAACCAGATAGAAAAATAAAGGTCTAATTCACTCAAAATTCTTCAGTGTTTACAAAACTAACAGGGTGGAGTAGGGAAGGGAGCAGGGGAGGCAGGCAGCCGCAGAGCAGGGCAGGGGAGAGGCTATGCTTCTGTCTCCACCTGAGACTGGCTCCTTGCCACATCGTTTTTCTGCTCATCCTTCATCTCTGCGTCAGTGGGATGGTCTCCTGCAGCCACCTCTGCCTTGGCCTATAAAGGATAACAGAGAGAAAAGTGCTGAATTCTTATGAAAAAATACACAGTTGTAACAGAACTGCAGAGACAGCACTTCAAGAATTGTCCTAAAAATATGAACATGTGAAAATTATGTATTTATAAGGTCAGTCATTACAATACTGTTTAGAACTATGCTCATCCAGTGTGGCAGCCCCTACAACATGTGTCTAGTTCAAATTTAAGTACTAGATTTTGAAGATTTAGTCTGAAAAATAATACAAATGCAATTTTAAGGAATTACATTGCTCCTGGGAAGAGGGCAATTTCTGGTTTCCAGAATTGGCAGATGCTATAGGCACAAAGCCCACATGGGCTGAGCTGAGTAAGAGGACTGTCCACTCCAACCTTACCTTGCTCTCCTCCTCAGCAAGCCTCTCAAACATGTTTGCATAGAGCTTTTTCTCCCGGGCAAGCTGCTTGCGAATCCGCTGCTGGCACACAGCCAGCTGGGCCTTAGCAGCTTTGTTGCTGGGGTAGAGCTGCAGGACCTTCTGGAAGTCAGCCCGTGCCAGGTCAAAGTCATTGACAGCCAAGTGGGCTTCACCCCGGCGGAACAGGCCCTTCTCATTGTTGCTGTCCAGTTCCAAGGCCTAAGGGTGCAGAAAGGAAACAACATAGGCCATGCAGCCCATCCAGCCAAGGCTGGATTCCAAAAGGATGAAGAGGAGCAGGAATGACTGGTGCCACCTCAGAAAAAACAAGGTTTGGTCTAGGATGAAACTCATTTAACCAAGAAGGACGACAGCAGGTCTTTGGATGAAACAAGAACAAGACTTCTGACATTCTCATTCTCTTAGGAATAAAGGTTAAGAGAAGCTAGGAACCAAGGTAGGAGAAAACTTTAGTTCTTCCCATCCCATGCCTGCTCTTACTTCTGTGTCAACTGTCCCTTACCACCAAAGCCAAAGGGCTTACTGCTGTCACCCTAGGCCTTTATCCCACTATCCCTACAACTAGCGAGCAAGGCCAAGTTCAGACTCACTGGCAGTACACCCAGCCCTGCCTGTACATTCTGCCCCCATGTCCTCTAAAGGGACCTCACCTTATTACAGCTTTCAATAGCAGCTGAGAAGGCCTGCAATTTCAGGTGACACATGGCCAGGTTGAGGTGGGAGGCCAGTCGAAGGGCTTGGGCCTTCTCTGCTTCCTCACTAGAAAAACTTGATTCGTATTCCAGCCAGGACACAATCTTCTTGTACTGCAGTAAAGCCTGCTTGTACTTGCCTTCCTAGAAGAGGAGGGAGACTAAGCAAAGGTCCCGTGGCCCCAGGCTGCCACACCCACTGATTTGAGGGACTGGTGGACTCAAAATTCCTGCTTTTCCTCCAAGATGAATAGGCTCAAATGTATCAGGTGAAGACTGCAGAGGCCAACCATCCAGAGCAGCCCTCCCTGGGGGTGTCTGGAGGACCATGCTGCTGGCTCACCTTGAAGTACACAGTGCCCCGTTCTTTCACTATGCTGCTCTGCTCCAGCTTCTCCTCGGAATTCATCTCCCAAGACTCCTTTGCCTGCCATACCCCAGGGGAGGAACAGAGTGATCAGCCTTCTCAGAGTCACTGAGAGGCTGGACCCGAATCTAGGAGAGGAAAGGCCTTAAACTCACCTTCTCAAAACTCTTGAGATGAACTTCATATCTCAGATCGGCATGTGGTGGGATTTGGAACTTTTCCTTCCCAACACTGCCAAAAGCATAGCTGTAGGGATGAAAAATGTTCAGGTCATCTTAGCAGCCCTTAACCTGCTCTGGGCAGACAAGGCTTTCTGTTTGTTTTCTGCAAAGTGCCCCATCCCAATCTCAAGATTTGGTTCAAATGCATTCTGTTTGGCCAGGTCTTCTCTGACCTCTTCACGATTAAGTAGTCCTGTAGCATTTTTTACAGCCTTTATAACTCTTTCAACTACATGGTGTTGTGATTATGAATTTAAATGCACACTAATGAACAAGTCAGTAGAAGGAAGGAACATTTTATTAATCTTTGAACCCCTCAAAACTTCCCACAGTGTCCGGCACATAGCATGTTCTTAATTCATAGATGAATTAAGAAGAGATGGAAATCTTTTGTGGTACTGAGGTTTAAACTCAGGGGCATGCACTTACTTCCTAGGAAGGCACTATACCACTTGAGCCATGCCTTAAGCCCTTTTTGCTTTAGCTATTTTCTGAACAGGGAGGGGTGCTGTTCTATGCACAGGCTAGCAAGGACTGAAACCCTTCTAGTTACACTTCCTATGTAGCTGGGGTGGTAGGCACGTGAGTTGTCAGCTTTTATTTGTTGAGATGGGGTCTCACAAACTTTTTGCCTCAGTTGGCCTTGAGCCTCCCAATCAGCTAGGATTGCAGGCATGAGACACCTGAGATGAAAACATTGATTTTGGCAGAGAAGGGAAAAAGATTAGACTGTAATCCAAGAAAACACAGATAACTGTGGCCACATTTCTAAATATAATGAAGAAGTCACAATGGCCTATGCTTGATGTGCCTGGAGTCACAGTAAACACAGGAAGAGAAGAGGACACAGCTCACTGTGGACACTTATGTCTGTTTTGGTTTGCCTACCTGCTCTACAAAGCGCCCACGCCTCACCTGGGCTTGATGTACACAACGGAATGTTCTCCTTTCTCCATGCGCTGAATGGCCTTCTCCAGCCCACAGGGTAGATCCAGACTCTCCCCCTCACCAACCTCAAAGCGGAGCTCCCGCTGGTCAAAGATCTGGTCCTGGTAGTATCCTTCCAGTACAACTGGCAGGAAAGAAGACAAGCAATGCCCCGGGGTGTGAGAGGCCAGGACACTGAGAAGATGCTACCAGCCATCCTCTAGCTCCCCATTATTCCAGTGACTGGCAGTGCCCCACAGTGCAAGAGGCAGGGCACTGAGCAAGATGTTCTTAGATCTGGAGGGATGTTAAGAGGGGGGAGGTTCAACCTTTCATTTTGTAGATGAGAAAACAGTCTTACTGAAAGCAAGCGATTTGCCTAAAGCCACCCAGGGCCTAGGTTTCAGAACCAGGACTTAAACCCCAGACAACACAGCCTCACCCTCCACGATAGCACCATCGTTAGGTCTGGCATAGCCTTCACCCCGAGTCCGTATTCTGCGGATGATCCCGCCATCTTCGTCTTCAGTCAGGTCCTCTCCCTTGAACTCAAACAACTCCACCTGTGAGACAAGACAAAAGATGACCAATCCAACAGAAGAGCTCCTAGAATCTGCCAGACCAGGTTGGAGAGTGACAACTCTGCCAAGTTCTTAGGAGCTGCTCTGGCCTCCACTCTGGTGGAGGCTGGCAGGCCACATGGATTTCAGCCAGCCTCAGAACAATCTGCTACCCTGGCTCCACTTAGCAAGGACACAAGAAGTCCAACCTGATAGGCATCAAAAGTGAACTGGCATCTCTCAGCAGTGTTTTGAATATCTTCCTAAGTCCACTGACTGGCTCACAACTTCCAGACTGAACAGCATCAATTCACCTCCTCAGGTAAGTCCTGCCTCACCTCTTCTTCCCAAGCATTAGGACGCCAATATTCTGTGCCATCCTTTATAACTGGGCATACTTTGGGTACCCCCAACTCCTTCCTATGAGAATGCTTCACCCCGACTCTATGCTTCCAATCTGGAAGAGTTTCGTGGGTCCCTCTTCCAACCCGATGTTGCCATTATTGATCACATTCTGGCAGCAGCAGAGCCAGCTGCCCTCTTCTCCATTTTTCCTCCTAAGGCCAGGCCCTCAGCCTTTGCTACATTGTCTCCAACAGGCAGGAAGGGCTGGAGGGCAGCCAGGCACTGGGCTGAGATAAGGCCTGGCTTTTTGCCTGGACCTCTGTGGCTGGACACTCACCTCAAACACAAGCGTGGCATTGGGGGGGATCTTTGGAGGGCTGCCTGCAGAACCGTAGGCATATTCTGGTTTGCAGGTGATGTGGCACACTTCCCCCACCTTCATGGTTGCCACAGCAACATCCCAGGCCTTGATGACCTCCCCTGCAAGTAGAGGCAAACAGAATCCCCTTAACAGGGGGTCTGACTCAGGGCTCAAATGGTGTCTCTAAAGAGTTATCACATGCACATAAGAGGACTCTGCACACCCTTTAGAAATGGAACCAGGAAGTAATAAGCTTGCACTGAATGCTGTCAGTCTTAGCATGCTAAAAGAACACTTAGCCCTGGAATGAAGTACTTGGAGAAGCAAAACAGTCCATCCCTAAAAATGGAGGTGTTGGGAATTGGTGAGAAGAGGAGACAGAAATCCTTAGTTACAGAATAATAGAGAAAAAAAGAGTCACAGAACAAGCAAGAGACTGTGAATGACCAATCCTCAAGTTTGATTCAGATTTTTTTTTTTGAGACAGGTCTCACTATGTTGACCAGGCATCTGGAACACATAGGCTCAAGTGATTCTTTTGCCTCAGCCTTCCAAGTACCTGAGACTCTACGCATACACCACCCACACTGGCCTCAAGCTTGGTGCAAAACAGTTTCTGCTTGTGATAGCTTCTACTGACCTCAAAGCCTCTAACCAGCCCACTAACCATGCCTACCTTTTCCCAGGTCAAAGGAGAATTTGTCCTTGCGGTCCAGACTGGAATCAAACTTTGTGCCATCTAACAGCCAGCCAGTGTAGTGGACAAAGACCCGGTCACCAATCATGGGTGTCTCTGTGCCTGTACCCTCTCGCTTGATGACCTGGGAGGAAGGGGAAGAAAGTGAGTACCCCAAGGATGCAGGCAGAAAGGGACCTCCAACCTGCCCACAAGATTTCAAGAGGAACGTTAACGGGACCCTTTTGTGTCCGCCATCCCCTGCGCGTCACTGTAAGCAGGTCTCATATATCAATTCTAAAATGATTCTGATACTAGTAGCTTAGCTAACAGTCAACCCCAATCTCTCTTGCGGTTTGGCAAGTACTGGTTTGAAAAACTGGAAACAAAAGATGTGAGTTCAAGGAGTTTTTTGCCTATATTCCTGGACAAATCACTAAACTCTTTTAACTAAAATCTTGGATAAGTGGTGATGACAATCCCTGTCTCCTGTAGTTGTTGGAAGACCAAACCAAAGGTTAAGGATATCAGCAGCGAAGAGGGAAGTCTTTATGCTACCTTTTCTCATTGCTCCTAAATGCCAGTGGTCATCAGATCAGGGTCTGATCTGATGGACAGAGAATGAGAGCAGTATGAGCAATAAATAGGACAAAACAGTTCAAAATTGGGAAAAGGAAAAGGCCAGGTTCCGCACTAGCACAGGAAGCTCTCCATCAGGCTCTAGATTCTGACTTGGGACATGCATCTTCCTGACTGGCAGGCTAAGTGACACTTTCATTCAGGACCAGGGTATTTCCAGGGGACATAACAGGCTTCTACTTTCTCTTCTTCAGCATTTATAAAAGGTGGCCCAATGGGCCACCAGATGGGTGTGTGATTACACTCTAGAATGGGCAAAGGCCTCAAAAAGTGCAAATAAAAGGGAAGGGTTTGAGGATAAAAGGAGAAATGAGCCTTCCTGGAATCTGAACCTTGCAGAGAACAGCAGGCACGACGCTGGAGAGTGAAGGGGAAACCGTGAAGGGGAAACCACATGCTTACAAGGGAATAGCTGGAGTAGGAGCTGCACCATCTGGGGCAAAGTCAGATGCATTTCTGGACCTAGTGAAGGCTCCCTGAGGTCTCTGGCTTTGCACAGGCCACACACACACGTGGATCTGAGTAGTGGGACTCCAGGAGAAACAATGAATGGTCGGGCACATGTAATGTGGGCTGGGATTATCCCCAACTCCCTGTAGAACCTGCTCTGAACCAGCGCCGGTTGTCCTGACCTGGGTCAGGATGTCTGTCCTCCCACCCTCCACTCTTCAGCCGGCTCTAAGACAAAGAACATCCTTCCCGGCCCGCACCCCGAACCCCAATTCGGTAAAGCGCAGGGGGCGAGGCGGGAAGGGAACTACAGGTCCCGGCATGCACCGCTCCAGCTCTCCGGGGCCAAGGGAGGGGGCACAGCATGGCCGAGCCGGTGACCTCGCTGGGTCCCGGCGTTTGGAAAGGGGGCACCGATCGCGCCAGAACCTTCTTCGAGGCCAGGCCGGGGCGCAAAGGGCTCCGGACCAGAAAACCGTTCCAGGGAGACGCTTCGCGTCCTAACTAATGTTTAACTTTCAGGGTGGGCAAGCTCTCGCACCCCCGCCCCAGGCCGGGGGACTTCCCGGCTGCAGCCGGCGGCGCGGCCAACCCAGCCGCGGCGTCGCGGGGAGGCGAGGGCGGTCGGCGTCGGGGCAGGCCTGGGCGCCCCGTGCGCGCCGCCCGGGCCCCGGGCTGGGGCTCGCGTGCCCCGCCCCTCTCCGCCGCACCGTGCAGTCGGAGTTGGCCCTGCAGTGCCGGCCCCCTCCCAGGCCGGGCGCTGCGGGCTGGGGCCCGGGCCCGGGAAGTGGCCACGCCGTCCCCAGGCCGCCCCTCCCGAGCGCGCGGCTGCCCCTGTTACCCCCAGCAACGCAGCCCGGTCCGGGAAGGCTATGTCACCGGCTGCACGCCCCAAAGGCCCGGGCGACCCCCTTGCTTCTCACCTTGAGCACGCCTTCATCTTGCTTGGGGCTGATGTCCACTCCCTCGAGGGGCAGCGGCGCCGACTGCGCCCCGCTCTCGGCCGTCTTCATCTCCTCGGCGGTCATCGCCGCTCGGCGCGCCGTTGGCTGCGGGAGCCAGGCAAGCGCGAGACTGGCGCTCTGGCCGCCGGCCTAAGTGTGGGCGTGTGGCGGAGGGGCTTTCGCGGCGACCACCGCGACCGCGCGCTCCGAAGCTCGCGCACCTCTGCGACCCGCGCGCTCGCAGCCCGCGGCGACTCAGGCAGCGCGGAGGGGCGGGCGCGGGAGCGATTGGTCCCACCCGCCGCGGGGGAGGGGCGGGGAGGAGCCGCGCGGGTGGGCGGGGGCGGAGAACTTTCTAGACACGGTGGCTTAGCCGGTTTGGGCTCTTCGGGCTTCGGGCGGCTGTTAGGATAAAAAAGAAAAGAAAAGAAAAGAAAACTCTGGTTCTTTCCTCCCGCTGGCTGCCCCGCTCCTGGCCTCCTCGGGGTGGAATGATCACCTCCTACTCCTGCGCTCTCCCCTGGCCCTTCCTCCCTCCACCCGGTTTCTTAGTCTAGCCGGATTCTTCCAGATCCTTCTCGATCCCAAGTCCAGCCCGGACCCGCCCTGTGCACCGCGGCCCTCAGCGCGGTGGCTGGAACCCGGGGAGCCGGATGCGGGTGGCGTGCGTCCACCTCCTGGGCAGGGGCGCAGACTCGGCCCGCGTGGCCTGGGGACCTGCCGGGCGCGGGCCCCTGGAGGAAAAGGGGGCGAAGGGGAGCGCGTCTGCCCCGTACACTGAACGGGGGTGGGGTGGGGTGGGGGGAAGGGTGTAGAGCAACCTGGATCTCCCCGGAACCGAGCCAGATGTGCCGCCTTCAGCTCTGGGAAATGCTTCGAGCCGCAGGCGATTTGTAAGAGATAGCCCCCCTGAGCCCCTGGCGCTTGTGTTAAAGGGAACTTTCCAGCCCACAAAGTGGTTTCAACTCAGGAAACGAGTCACTCCATTTTACTAAAGGCGCCTAGGATGGAATATTTTCTACTCGATGTCTGGTTCGCAAGTGTTTAAGGACTGATTGTGGAGTTCAGAGTGTGCATAGTCAAAAAACTGCGGGGCCTAGTTACCCAAACAATGGTGGTTTGACGGTAAAATCTATCTCGAGAGGGTCCTGACTTTGCCCAGCCCTTAACCCCAGTTAAGCCTGGTGTCCGGTGAGTGCAATCCAATAGTAATTGGCTTTATGAATTTTTATTGCAATGTACTAATTTTTTGTTGTTGCTTTGGGTCCCTGGCCCTGTGTTATGCCAAGCAAAGACGTCATCTAGGTAGGTAATTGAAATTGCAATATAATGACTTATTGTAGTCCCTTCTAATGACACTTAAAGGGGATACAGAAGAAATAAAACCATTCTCTCCAGCAGTTCACAGTCTCATTGAGTTTTACCAGAACTAAGACATTTCTCCGGTGACTGGAGATACCTTCAGAAGATGTGGCGGGGGAGGGGTTGCCTCTGTAAGCTTTATGCCTTTTTTGCAGAAGTAACAGTCAAGGCCCAAACCAAACTCCAGGAGGTGGAGATGGTGGGTACTAGCTTGCACTTGGAAGTTATCTCACAGTTGCTCGGTTATGCACCTGCTGATCCTCCAGGAGTGGAGTTTGCTATGGCCTTTGGGTATTATCAGACACTAGACAAATTGGATAGAAGAATTCACCTTTAGAGTGATGCTTTTTCTGTTTTTTTTTTCCGTGGGACTGGGGTTTGAAATTAGAGGTTGTCGCTTGTAAAGCAGGTGCTGTACCACTTGAGCCACACCGCCCATCCATTTTTGCTCTGGTTACTTTGGAAATGGAGGTCTCATGAACTGTTTGCCCAGGCTGGGCTGAAACTGTGACCCTCCCGATCTCAGCCTCCCAAGTAGCTAGGATTATAGGCGTAAGCCATCAGCGCGCGGTTCTTTTTCTTCATTGGGAGCAGCAGGATTGGTCTAGCTCTTTTCGTTTCGTTCAGAACACCTAAAATGTGCCTGCCGTTTTAATGTAACCTAGTATGACAGAAAGAGCTTGTGGCTAAGAGTAAGGGTGTTACCCAAGAGCAGCTGTTTAAATTAGGGCAGGTTACTTAAATCTGTTAAGCCTCAATTTCTTGCCATAAAATTGAGATAGCAATTGTAAATGAGGATGATTTGATAGGGAAAAAAAAAAAAAGAAAAGGTATATAGTACAGCACGTGGCTTCAAGCCAGTGGCTAGTGACTAAAGGTCACTATTGTAATGTGTGCCACGTTGCATTCTGTAAAATGGTAATTATGATGAACCTATCTAATAGGGGTTTTCTTTGAGGAGTCAATAGTTACGTGGGAAGTACTTTTTGTATATGCGCTAGACTGGGGTTTGAACTCAGGGCTTTGCACTTGCAAAGCAGGCACTCTACCGCAGTTGATTTTTTGCTCTGAGTATTTTGGAGATGGGGGGGGGTCTCACAAACTATTTGCTGCTGACCTTGAACCATGGTCCTCTGGATCTCAGCCTCCCAAGTAGCTTAGATTAAAGGTTTGAACCACTGGTCCCCAGATGTGCGAAGTACTTTTACAGTACATGGCATATAGTAGGTAAATGGTAGTCTGAGTGCCACTTTTTTTTTTTTTTCCTAGTATTGGGGTTTGGACTCAGGGTCTACACCTTGAGCCACTCCACCAGTCCTGTTTTTTGTTGGGTATTTTTGAGATAGGGTCTCACGAACTATTTGCCAGGGCTGGCTTCGAACCACAATCCTGATCTTTCCTCCTGAGTAGCTAGGACTACAGGCGTGCGCCACCGGCACCTGGCTTGAGTGCCACATTTTATTCAGCCTGTTGCTTGCTGGGAAGCAGAGTTGAAGACCTGGAGATCTGCAGTCTTGAGTGGGGGAGTCACTGGTGTAAACAAGGCTTTGCTCCCTCAAGTCCAGGACAAAGCGCTAAGGAAGCCGATCTATATGAGGAGGAAGATGGTGTGCAAGGGCGGGAGGCAGGGATTCCAGTGGAAGAACTCTACCTTCATGCAGTGCAGGAGTAAATTGGGGTCTTGAGTCTCACAGCAAGACCTGTTGCCTCTATGATTTTTCCTGTTTGTCGGTGTTCCATTTTTTTGGTCCTAAACCTGACACATACTCACTGTAGAATGTGTGTAGGTGTTTTATACTTCTTCTTCCTCATCATCCCTTTCCCAGCTCATTTAAGTTAATTTTCTCATTAAAGATAAACGTTTAAGTGGTATCACTCAAATTTCTTCCAGAATTTTCCCTTTTTTGCAGGAGGAAGAGAGCAAGTAGATTTTGTCATCCACCTTCCTCTGTAGGTGGCTCATGTTGGGGTCAGCAGTTTTGTTATTGCAAAATGAGCTTCCTGAGCTCACTTGGCCCATCAACCTAACTTGGGCCCATCCTTTACACACACAGACCTCTTGTTTTTCACAGTTGATATTTTGGTCTTCTTAGGCTGCCAATGCACTCAAACATTTCAAGAATTAATATTTGGATCATTCAAAAGAATTTGAGATCAATCTGTGCATGTGTACATGATGCATAATACATATGCTGTGTAGCATACCACTATGAGAATCCATCACCAGGTCTGAGTTAGAAATTACCAATATAATTGTGTCAAAAATGTAATGCCAAGCCAGTTGCCGGTGGCTCACGCCTGTCCTAGCAACTCAGGAGACAGAGATCAGGAGGATTGTGGTTCGAAGCCAGCCTGGAAAAAATTATTCATGAGACACTATCTCGAAAAAATCCCTCACAGGAAAGGGTTGGTGGATGGCTCAAGGTGTAGGCCCTGAGTTCAAATCCCAGTACTGCAAAAAAAGAAATGTAATGCCAAAAGATTTTCAAGACACTTAATAATTTCTTAGTACTTTCAGTGTCTGTTGACAGAAAACAGACTACTATACTGACCAAAAGAGTTACTACAACATACATCTATCTACCCATCTACCTATCCATCCATCCATCCATCTATCTGATTATAGCTCCATTTTCATACAGCTTTATAATAGTAGTTGTCTGGGGCTAGGGGTATAGCTCAGTGGTAGAGTGTGTGTTTAGCATGCATGAGACCCTGGGTTCCATCCCCAGCACCCTGCACAAAATAAAAATAGTAGGTGTCTGTGTGAGGCCTGCACAGTGGAAACCTGGGTAGTGTAAATGTTAAGCACACAGACTCTTAAGTGGATCCACTTGGTTCAGGTTCTACTCCAGGCTCTGGATTGGGTTTACCTACGTTCAAATCTCAGCTTCGTCCTTGAACAAACCATGACTCCTCTAAAGTGGCAGTTACGATGAATGTATCTCATCAGGTTTTTCTTCCCGGAGTCAGTGGTTGTTATGTGTGAGTACTAAGACAGTATGTGGCAAATAGTAAGTGGTAAGCAGTAGTCACTCTGGGTACCACAGTTTCAAAGTGCAGAACCACAGCATCTACAACCAAAGTATTAAGGTATGGATTGTTTTTTTAGTGCTGGGGGTGGAACCCAGGGCATCCAGCGTGCTAGGCAGGCACTCTACTACTAGAGCCATTCCACCAGCCCTAGGGATAATAATCTTTATATTTACTTTTTTTTTCTTTTGTGGTAATGGAGTTTAAACTCAGATTCACACTTGCTAGGCAGGTGCCACTTGAACTATTTTGCCAGCTGTGTGTGTGTGTGTGTGTGTGTGTGTGTTGGGTATTTTTGAGATAGGGTCCCACGATCTGTTTGCCCAGGTTGACGAGCCTCTTGATCTGTCTCCTGAGTAGCTAGCTAGGATTACAGACAGTGAAACCACAGGCACCTGGCCTATATTTACTTTTTAAGAAGGGATCATATAAGAGGCTGGGTGTGGTTATTTTCTCTCTCTTTCTCCTTCTTCCCTCCCTCTCTTTCTCCCATTTTGCTTCGCCCTTCCCTCACTCTCCCTTTAAAAAAAAAAAAAAAGATATTTTACAATGTAGGCTTGGTAGCACATTGCCTGTAATCCCAGGATCATGAATTTGAGGCCAGCCTATGTACAGTGCGATTCTGTCTCAAAAAAAAATGTCACACAAATCTTAACTGTATGGTTTTTTTTTTTTACATATACATGTGCCCCCAAACTACCATCCGGGTCAAGATGTAGAGGGTTGCGATACCCCACCATTCCTGCATGTCTCCTCCCAGTCTAGTCACCTCTGAGAGTAACCACTATTCTGACGTCCATTGTAAAAGTTTACTTTTGTTTGGCTTTGAACATCATTCCAAAGATTCAAGAGTGTATTCTCTTGTGACTTTTTCATTCCATATTATGTCTGTGAAATT